CCCCAAAACCCCAAAACCCCAAAACCCCAAAACCCCAAGATTTTGTATGTAAATTGAGTTGTGAGGACAATCTATTGCTTATTCATCACTTTCCTCAAGGATTTCTTCTTTTAAGCCAGTGGTTGCTGTTCTGAGTATGCCCCATTTAATACTAGCTTGTCTAGAGATGACTATTTCTTGACCTACTTCTTTAAGATCCTTTGCATGGTGATGATGCTTTGTTCTCTGATCATCCTACAACATAAGCCTAGATACTAACTCGCCTTCAGGATCTTCCTGCTTCTCTTCATAATACTCCTTAAATTGGATGACTAAATTTTTATAAATCTTGAGTTCTTTTTCAATAAATTCATTTGCTAAAATTAGCTGGAACTTTACTCATCACATGCTGTCTCGAGTTATTCTGAGATGTATTTCTCAGCCTAGAATAAATCAGAGACAATCTTACAGAACATTCTTCATATTGTGAAATATGAGATTGAGGGATCTGAACTGAGCTATTTGGATAGCTTATAAGCTTACTTAGAACTTCACTGTCTAGCTTATATCCAGCTCTTTCCTTAATGGACCTAAAATATTGACTTGAAATTTACAACAATAATTTGTTGACTGCCAGATAGGCATCTTCGTTGCCAACCGTTGTTGCTAGGCTTCGGAGGTTCTGGTCAAGTTTGAGGAATTCTGAGGGATAATTACTGAAGCTTACTTGTCATGCTTTGAGGCACATCATAACTCGCTTCTATGTTGATATTTCTGACAAAATAATTCCTAGTATTTGCTGCTTTCATGAACGATCTGAGATTTACACAGTTATTTCCAAGGACCCATGCCAGCCTATAAATTGAGGCTGATTCCGTATGAGATCAGTCTGGATCCAGCTGCTGCAGGATACTCTTAAAGTGCTGAAAGGAAATCCCATCGCTAAATTTAGCACTCTGAAATGTGGTCTTTGTCTATGTGGTTGGCAGAGGGACTTACTATTTGGAGTTTTTCCTCAAAAAGTTCATGAAAGATATGCACTCGAATCTTATTTCTCCTTCCTGTAATATTCTAGCATGATTCTTAATATTTTGGTAGCATCTATGTAGCTCTTACTGGGCCTCTTATTTTGGTTAATTTTGAGCCCTTTTGAGAGATTAAACAACCTCTCCCTGATTTCTGTCACTTCTTCATTAGGAGCTTTGGTAAAAATTTGCTTGAAAACAGAAATTGCAACCTAAGAGATGAGGAATGCACATACCTCCATTGGGATTAAGTGCACTCTGTCAAATTGGCCCTTCCTCGTTGAAAGTTGAGACCCTCCAAATACATAGTCTCTTCAGAGAAGATAGAAATGGAGTTCATCTACAGAATGTCTTTCTTCTAAAAAGTCAAGGAATAGAGAATATTCCCACATTTTTGACTCAATGTTTGCTTTAAGCCCTAGTAAGATTTGAAGTCGGATTTCATCAACATGGTCTAGTTCGTAAAACTCTAGAAGTCTGGTTTTCCTTGTGATCCCATCAACACAGAAAGTTCCAAGCCAGGAGTACACAAACTCAGGGAAAGAAGTGATATTAGTAGGGTCATGTGATTTCATGCAGTGTTCATACATCTTTGAGTCAAATATTGCTCTAATTGTGACAAATAGCCATTGATCAAAGGGAGGATTATATGGAAGTTCAAGAGTTCCACTCCGATACCTCCTCAGCAAGGTTTGCTTCTCTAGTTCAAAAGACCTCCTAGTCTTTTCATCCATCTCCTCGTAGATCCCCTTGAATGCTTCACCAGAGGAGATGTGGTGTTCTATAAGGGTGAAGTACCTTGGCTTAGAAAGACTGAATTCTTCTAAATTTATACCTATAGTTATGAATAATTCATACTGAATGCATTGAAGACCGAATATTTATTGTTCATCATCTCTTCAATTTCCTTTGCTTGGTCGTCTGTAATCTCACTCTCACTAGGTTCGATTCCGGAGTTAATCATCGATATTGGGATTTCATTATCCATGGAGTCACTGAGGCTTTCATCTTCTTCATCTCTAAAGTTTAAGACGAGTTCTGTTACATAATTCTTGGGAATCCGTAGTTCTTTGTTCCAGTGGGTCCTCTCTTCGCTTGGACTACATAATTAGCCATTTAAGATACCTTTTGAACTAGGGTAGATATCGTTCTTGAACTTCTCAACTATGTCACCATTTATCAGAGCAAAGTTGATGTTTTTCGAGCTCTGATGCACCTTCATCAATTGGGTCTTATTTCAAACCTCCACTCCCAATATCGTTCATCATGAAGGATTTCGAACGAGAAGGATGCCCAACAAAGAAAGCATGATCACTTCCTATTTGGAAAAAGGGGTCTGTTAGAGTTACTTTAAGATTGGTTTGATCACAATCTGTATTTTTAGTGGTTTCCCAGAGCTTCTTCTCCTTTTTCAATTCTGCAAGCTGAGATTTCAGCATATTTTCAGTAAGCTTATAAGAAGTCATCTCCTTCTGACATTCAGCCTGAGTCTTCAGGTGAGTGCTATTTTGTTGCTTGAGGCTACAAATTGAAAGATAAATCTACCTCTTCAGCTCTCTTTTCAAGTTCTGGATAATTTCAGCTTGCTTCCTACTCTCAGATTGGCAAGCCTCTAGTGTTATAGTAAGACTCTGCTTCTCAGCTTGTAATTCAGCATTCTGTTTGTTAATTCTGGCACTCTAGAGGGATAACTCTCAACCTACGCTCTCAAGGTCTTCTAAGCGATTACTCTTGACTTCGAGTTCTTGACTCCTTCTCTTTTGGTGAAGAGCCTATGACATTACTTATTGCCCTAACATTTTGTCTTTTCTTTCTTTTTAGCTGAGCTTGCTCTATTTCCTTCTGTTCTTGCTCTCTGGATTCATGTTGCTTTTCCAACTCTTTCAACTGTGCTTTCAAATCCGAAAATTAGTTAAAGAAATAGGTACCTTTTACCATGGATGAGAGGTTGTTGATCTTTATGTCTATAGGATCAGTCATGCGATTAACCTTTTAGCTTAAGCTTGTTGATATACTCTTTCTCGTGGAACTTCTCCTGCCTAAAGATCATTAGTAAGTTACTTATAAACCCTATTTAGCTTGGATAATCTTTGTTCCAAAGTTGATAACTTCTTCTCTGAATGTGAAGAAATCTTGCAAAGGGATTTTTGTAGGGAAGCATCCCGTTTCAAGCTAGAAAGCACTGTATCCTGAACCTCTTTCTTAGGTGATGGCCGTAGCTCTTTCAACATTTTATGCTGAGAAATTTGGTGCGAGATGTACTTTATCAAGCATGCTTTGAACTGTTCAAAATTGCTTCGTAGTTCTCCCTGTGAGCTAAAGATAAAACTTTAGAGTACCTAGCTCCTCAAGAAATGATCGATTTCACCACTAAATATCAGACTGGTCCTACTAGTTTCATATTTCCTAGAAAGGGTTATGCAGATATTTACCCCATTAGTGCTTGTGCTTCTTTTGGGAAGCTCATAATTTGTTTAATCTGAGACTCATTTAGAGTATCTATAATGATGTTGGATGAGAACACAAAGTTGAAATCTTCCAATTTGCCTGGAAAACTATAAATTAATGCCACCCACCTATCCTGAATTGCTGGTATGTCGCATTCCTAGCTGTATGAGGCACTCGATGCATAAAGTTTGGGTTTATAGACTTATTTAGTATGCAATGGGACTACTTTTCTAGTAAAATCAAAGTTAATTAGGCACCCTTATATGTCTCTGAAAGTTAACATCAAACTTAAGATTCGAAGAACCAATCCTGTTTCTTTTATTTGAATTAATAAATGAGCTATACACTTTTGGTTGAGCAATAGAAATGTTCCCAAGAGTATTCATTGATGACTCTTGACGAGGCGAGACTATTGAGTTGAGACTTTCTCCAGAGAACCCAAGCTCCAGTAAGTCCATCTTTGGCTGAGAGTTTGTCTTTGTATGAAATACTTTTGGAGGTGCTCCCCCATCAATGACCATCGTAGAGATACCTTCAAGGGCAAGCTCAGTACTGTCCACCCGGATATCTCTATTATTAGGGAAATTCCTTGTAATATTTTTCTAAAAAGTCGTTTAGCCGAGAGATCTTACTTGAGCTCGATGATAATATTTCTCAAATCCGTTACTGTTGATGTCTTTGTTTTGTGCCATATTTTATGCAATTTTAGAAAATAATCCAGGGGTTTTGGGGTTTTGGGGTTTTGGGG